GATAAAATCTATTACAATGATCTTTATAAACTAATAAGCTAAAAACTCTTCACTGAAAAACTGGTAAAAATTTCATCTACCACAGACATCTCAAATTTCTGTGCAAAGAAAAAAGATTTTTTTTTTTATTGTTTTGTTACAGAAAAACTGGAACTATCCTATTTTAAGAATTACATTATTACCATTTTAATTATTAGATAATCTGTATATGAAAAATTTTGTGTCCGTTTTTGATTCTTAAAGTATTCAACTTGTGGGATGGGGAATAATCAAAAGTAGTCAACATTTCAAAGTTCTAAACAGGAAAGTTTTCAAGGCTTATATAACAAAAGTTTTCAATGTATAAAATCTTGTCTGATATCTAACTGTTCAGCAGTTATCATTGTTGAATGTTTGGCATGAGCTGCTGATTAATCAGTTTTTTGAAGGAAAAATGATGTAGGGGTCTAGTATACCAATATATGACAAGGTTTCATACATTAAACTCAGAAGTATTTATGAATAGAGATTTAATAAAAAAAATAAAATAAAAGTGAAGAATAAATCACTTGAATCATTTTGACTATTGAAAATAACTTTATTACAAGTACTGAGAAAAGAATTTTTTTACAAAAGATTTTTAAAAAATTAAAACAACAGTATGTATGTTGATGTATAACAGGACTAGTTGCACAGACTTAAAGAATGAGTTTATTGCTTTCAAGTTTACTTTATGTCATTGTGCGTTTAACTAAACTGTACTCAGTGCAAAAAGCTTACATTTATCAATAAATACAGAAACCGCAACTTTGATACTGAGCAAAGTGCCACATTATCATCAAAAATGTACAAGAATAAAGTCAACAGAAAATAAATATTTTATTCAAAATAAATAAAACAATAAATAGTGAGGTTTAACAGTTCAAAGGTGTCAACAATTCCTAAGTTAGACCCAGAAGCCTTGCAGTGTGTATTTTTTATTATATTATATATATATATATATATATATATATATATATATATATATATATATGACTAGAATTCAAAAAGTTTATAAAATCTTGGAAAAAATACTAACATAGAGGAAATTTCTTTGACTGAAAGTGTTATTGAACAGAATTTAAGAACAGATTCCCCTATTACAATACAATATCAAATATTGTTAAGGTGTTAAGATCAGTGTTTCACAGATGTGAACTAAGTCTAGAAAACAGGTTGGTCTCAAAGTACACTTAAAAATTACACATGCATAACATACCCACACACACAAACATGCATGCAGACACACAGGCTTGCAAAAACCTCAAAGTCTATACGAATCTTTATATGAAGAGGGTGAAACCTGAACAACTTCTATGTTAACATTTTTTGCATGGGAAATTTACCAGCACTGCCTGAAGCAACACTGAAGGCTTATATCTATCTACCTTGTGCCACAATTTTCAACATTTTTCAGAATGAAAACGTTATATTAACAATGACAAGTTTTGCATTTAAGCAATATCAGCACAAAATTACATGCAACCTGAGATATTTATGATGTGATTCAGTCAATTCAGCCGAATTAAAATTCTAAATGAGCCATATATATATATATATATATATATATATATATATATATATATATATATATATATAAAGGTGTGTTAACAGCAAATAAAATTAAATGTTCAACTTACCTTTCCCAACTTGGAGTTTCATAAATGTTATCCACTCATTAGGGAGTTTGATAGCAAAATTTTATTATCAAACTTCCTGACAAATGGATGCCATCAACTCCAACTTGAGAAATATAAGTTCAACATTTAATTTTATTTGTTGCTATTCATGCCCTATTTATTGATTTAAATAGAAAAATTGCTAAAAAAGGATTAGCCTTCAGAAATACATTTATTCATTTTTTTGCAAAACACAATCTTTGTTATTAATAGGTGTGTTAAATGTTCCCAAGAATGCTCAATTGTTCATTTAATCTCTAATTTTCAAAAAGTGCCCTGCAAACTTTTGCATGCCTAAAAATTCTAGGCATAATTAATAGGCTAAGAATTAAATAAAACAAAGATATTACTAATTACAAAAACAAACAAAAAAAACAAGAGAAATTAAACCTATTATTCATAAATTATAAGAAACTAATACATTGATAATAGTATGAAATAGAAATGGGAAAGTATTTAACAATTATCCCTTCAGATTAGTAAATAAAGTGAATTTAATACAAAGGGTGCAGAAACTTAAAAAGAATAATAAGAATGTGAACAAGCATGAACAATCATTAAACTAATTATTGATAATCCAGTTCCTAAGACATTAGTGGTAATGTATTGCACTTTTCTCCAGAATTTATTTTACCTCTTCTCTCCTTACAATACTGGAAGGGTCATGTTAACCAGAAAACATTGAATTTCACTACTGAGGAGATCCAAGACAACAAACTAGATACTAAAATTTCCAGTAAAAATCTGATTTAGATCAGTTTTATAACTTTTAGATAAATAATTTGCACTTTTATTATTACAAGTTTAAAGTTTGTGATGTATATATCTCTGACAAAAAAAAGAAAAATCTAACAAATTAGATAAGCTTTTCAAAAGAATGTTAATATTTTCTCAGGTGGGAAGCCCAAGTGATTTGGCATTAAGCATTATAAATATGAGTATGGGGGTTAAAAAAAATTCCAAAGAATATATATTAAAAAGAAGCATTTGGAATGAACAATATGAAGAACATTTTTCTAAAGTGGCTGATATCATGATTTTTTTTTTCTAATTAAACATGATTAACATTGACAATTCTGAAGCACACAATAAATGTAAAACGTGCTTTTTTTTTCTATATTTACTTGCATAGATTTAATGATTTCATAGCAAACAGTAACAATTACTATTGCACAAAAATCACATTTTCTGTTCTTTTATAAATACTTTTGATAGATACGTCTGATCAGATTCCGTCTCTTTTTCTTTCTCTCTTCAAATCAGTGTTCACATGGCATCTTTTAGTTGCTCAAAAAAACACAATCATGTTATTGCTGTTATTTTATATAATAGAGATAATGATAAACTAAAAAGTGAGCCATTATTATTGCTATATGAATCAGAGAGACAGAGATAGAGAGTGTGCGCGCTTATGTGTGTGCGTGTATGTTATATCATTAAGCCAATTGAGGGAACAAAAACTGACACACACTTTTATGAAAGTTTTAATAGATTTTCACTTGCCAATATTTTATTTTTCAATGCAGAATTTGCCTCAGACACTTTGATATTTGTCTTTAAACAAGTTATATAAATAATTAAAATAAATATCAGCAGTTCTATATACGGAATGAAAAAATGTAAAGTAGCAACAGTAGTGAAAAATGAATGATAGGCCATCTTTCAGTTAATGTGTTTGAATTTAAATCAAAGATTTTGCCAAAATATCATTTTGGACTTACGTAGAAGAGAATTCCATTTTTACATATAAAATTTTGATCTTTAAATAAATAATTCATGTAGGCATTTCTTTCTTTTTTTTTTTTTTTTTTTTTTAAATTTAAAACAAGTATCACTAGCCAGCCAGTGGCAAATGATTTCTACTGCACTATGTATTTTTATAAAACGTGTGTGTTGTGTGTGTGAAGTTTATGTCAAAAAAGAATATAGATATATATTATACTTTTATATATTGATAAAAAATGAACATCAAAAATTAATGTAGTTATTAATCTTGAACCATCATTTGAAAACAATTATTGCTGATGAATATCAGGGACAGAGGAAAAGGTAAAGAAGGGGGGGGGGTTAAAAAAAAACCCTCATTTCAACTATCACATTTTTAAAGAGATCAAATTTTAAAAATTAAAATAAAAGTTTATTGCTTTTATAAGTGAGAAAAAAAAGTGAGTTTGTAAAATTTGTATGTGAACAACAAGTTACAGTATCATGCCTTAAGCAATAACCTCAGCCATTATCAGTATTTGCACGATATCTACTTTTGATTTTTAAACAAGTTGATGATGACTACACAAAGTTCAAATGACAAGTAGGGCATGGGGAGTTCATTACAGAGCACAAGACTAAGGTGTATGTGTAAACATTATATATATATATATATATATATATATATATATATATATATATATATATGAGTGTGTGTGTATATGTATGTATTCCATCTTCTGTGTTGTTTTTGCTCTTACAAGAACATATCAGTGCATACAATATGAATAATAAATGTAACAGGCTAAACAGTAACAAGTCCTGATAATGTTCAGTATTTAAAGCTTTATAATAGAAAAGTTCATGAAACATGACCAACGTCTTGTTTTTACTTGGGTTGGGTTTATATTTACCCTTCAACATATTTCAGAATGTTTTTTTTTAATGGTATTTTTCATTTTTTTTCTTTTTTCTTCTTTTTTTCATTTTTTTTTTTTTATATTTTTTTTTAAAACCGAAATCTGAAGATGATTTCTTGCAGAAGTTAGATCAATCAAATGCAAATAGATGCCAAAATAGAATCAGGAAAAAAAGAGTTGTCAAGTAGAAACAGGAGTGACCAGTCACTTTAGAATCCAGATCCAGTTCTTTTTTTCCTCGTTCTTTTTTCTTGTCTTTTTTTTCCTCAGTTATTTTATTTTTTCTCCATTTGTTTTCAATTTTTCATTTTTCTCACATTTTTTCTTTTTTTCTTTTTCTTTTTTTTTTAACATTCCAACAGAAGCTCCTTCTCATTGGTCAAGAGATGTCATTCAAAACTTGACGACGTTTGACAAAGAGCTACACACTCCTGAAGCACCAACTATTATTCCTTGAAGGCATTGAAAAAGTTCTACATAGTCTGGTGATCACTGGGCTTTTACTTGCATTTGTGGTCCACTTTTTTGAAGATGTTAACGGCCACACTGTAAATCACTTCAGAAAGGCAGTCGATAATGTTGAAAAGGAAATATTGGCCAGCCATCAGACGAAGGTTAGACACTGACAAAGAATGTCGGTGGTTTCATGTCGGATGTGGCAGTCCCTCAAAGTGCTGACATTTGCCGCCATTGTCTGCAGGTGAAGCTGCAGCCTTGTTTCGTTTCTCTGCATCCGTGGCCTGTGTATAGCCCTGACCTGAACCGATTGAGTTGGGATCTGAAAGAAAGGGTGTACAGAAATCCTATACTTCAAAATCTGGACCAACTGAAGGCCAATAGAAGATGGGAAGTGCAAGAAATCAGTCAGGAGAGGGTTGGGTGCTGTGATAAGGAATCAGCATTCCAATACACAGCACAAAGAAGGCAGACAAGGCCACAGGATTTTCAACATTTTACGTTAAACTATTATGACAAATGTAGCTAGATAGGACTTGGAGGAAAAAAGAATTTTTCCTCCAATTTTTAGCTATAAATTGATAAGCATAATTGAAGAAGTGTTTAAGTCACATGGGACAATTTTGAATTCAAGTGTTCTAACAAAAACAGTGGATCAGATTTAAAGAAATCTAACCACAAACTTTTTTTTTATTATTATTATTAACTGTGAAAGATCCTAACAGGAAATGGAGGCAACAGATACACAAAGCTCACAAAATATACATGGTATTTGAACCAGTTGTACATTTTATGAATGGTTATACTTGAAAAAGCTTTTTCATTTAATTGTTTTTCAACATTCTTCATAAAAAAAATGCTGTGTGTTCAATGACTAGCCTTGACCAACATTTCTATCTAGCAGTTGGTGCACTCTACCATAGCTGTACTATCATTAGCAACCTATAAGAATGCTCAACTACTACATGCAATTGGATATGGAGAAATGATCTAAATTAAGCAAATGAGGAAGTAATACAATCTTCTTTGAATGTAAAAGTAGATCATCAAAAAGAGAAGAACACAAAAAAGCTACTAAGATTGGATAGCAGTAATTGGATTTCGTGTGTTTGTTTGTTAACAAAAATTTTTAAAAAAGGCAGAAAAATGGAAGAAAAACTTGTTACTTGATACATAGAGAAAAGCAGAAACATTCACTTCTGATGGTATTTCATATCAGAACACTAGACTTAAAGATTTTATCAAAAATTAACTAATTAAAAGAAATGATCATGAGATGGAAAAAAAAATGAGGGCTCCATGCAAATTTATTAGTAAACTACTCTTCTTTCCTTACATTTTTTAGGTATTGATACAGCGAAATATCCATTCTGATTGAAATCAGATACAATCTATTGATACTTTAATAATCATTAAATCTCAGTGGTGCTAGTTCAGGTTATGCCTTAGAAAATGTAAAAAAGTACACATGATGACATTTCCCTTTGTTTCTTATTGAGCTTTCATTTGAATAGCATGGTTTTTCAAGATTATATATAAAATCATTATAATAAAAACAAAGTTTCATAAGCCAAATTGTTTGTAGAAACAAGATGTGTTCAAAACAGACAGATAAAGATCTTTGTTATAACAATTAATAAAAAATTACTTTCAGTCTGTACAAGGGAGATATTAAAGCTACTGAGAAAACTATTTGTACCACATACACTGAATTGGGTTCAAATGTTAGTTGGTTTTGTTTTTAAAAGGTACATTAAGGACACTATAGTTTCAAAGAAAAATATTTCATAAAGGCAAAGTATAATTATTAAAGAAATAAAGAATTCAGTATATATATGTTAAGAAAAAAAAAAGCAATATTATTTTTAAAAGGATCCTTTAACCACAACCTCAGGTAGGATTTTTTTCCTTAAAAATAATTAAATGTTCAGTTTTCATTTATATATGGGCAGAATATATCAAATTTATTTTTTTGTTGGTTAGGAGATGGTCTATATTGTAACGAGATCATTATGGTCTCATCTTAACCTCGAAACAAGATAATTTTTATATCCATTTCTAGATAAGATTATTTTTAAAAGCATTCCAACAAAGATTAATATGATAGATATACATAAATACAAACTAGATAAGACTCCAAGAATTAACTAAGACATTTTATTTATTTATATATATATATATATATATATATATATATCATGCAAAGTGGATAACTGAATAAAGAAAAAATATATCAAATGTAGCTTCCATTTTACTCATATCCAGTTACATAGAAAAGTAAAATTAAAAATGCAAAGTTGTATAAATAATAATTTGTGGCATTCAAGGGAAAAAATTTAATAGAATTACAAAAATGAAGATTTTTGCATCAAATAAGAATATATTGAAAATAGTAAAATAAAATTTGATCTAAGTACAAGCCATGTATATTCTGAACTATATGTATATAAAGCATGTTAACTACAGCTATATGGAAAACAACAGTTAAATAGTACTTTAAAAAAAAAAAAAAAAAAAAAAAAAGGGAAAAGAAAAGAATAAACTGTCATCACCAGGAAGATATATGCATGACTGAAAGTTTCAGAAAAATGCCAATTTTTGAAATATATCAAAGTTTTAAAGCGGGCAGTACAAACTCAAAACAAAAAAACATTGCAACTTTGTCACTCAGCATCAAACCAATTCATATGAACTCTATCTTTAGTATGCTACTTATGTGTTATATATAGAAACCTTTATTCTCATACATGTATACATATATGAATCAAAATCATAATGCTTTCACTTTTGCCATCATTTTTTTTAACAAAGTTATGGAGAAAATGTATTTCTGACAAACAAGATTATGAAGCATTTATAATATAGTAATCTTAAAATACAACTACTACTAGCAACATGAAAGAAACCAGAAATAAAATCAGTTATAGAACCAAGAAAATTTATATTCCACTTACTAAGAACTGGAAAAACACTCACACATTCACACATCTAGAAACAAAAAATGGGACAATTATTTACGAATATGTTACAGAGAAATCATTTCAGCCATAAAAGATTTTTATAACCATATGAAAGCCATAAAATTGGCAATATTTTCTACATTCTACTTTTCTTTTTTCTCAAAAACACTAATGTAATTTAAGGCTGCATTTGAACTGACTTAAACTTAGGAGGAAAATACATTTGACAAATAAGTGTTGTACAATGACAAAAATAATCTAATATATCCAAATGTACTAAAACTATAATATTGGGAAACTTTGGCTATCAAATGGCCATTATAGTATACAAAGCATATGCATAATTTTTAAGAGAAATATATTATCACACAAACTGAAAAACATATGAAAGTAATGAAAAATAAACCTGATCTATATAACGTGAAAAGAGAAATAAAACAAAAAAATTAATTGGAAAAAAGAGAAACAAAGAAGCCCAATAAGAAAACAGAAAAGTATTCATGTGAGTAAAATTCTAAAAAAATGCTGGTTATTTTGTTTATATGGATGCCATGCATTACAAGCTAAACATATGATTGAATATATCTTATTACAAATGAAGCTTTTTAGATTATCAAGACAAAGGTTTGAAAGAATTAAAAACAAATTCTGTTTTACTTGCTACAAACTTCTTGGAATTTGTGATACATAAGAACTAAAGTTACTGAGTTAATATTTGACAAACTTGAAATGAAAAGTTGACAACCATTCCAAATAACAATTGTTTTATGTTGATTATTTATATTTCTGATGATTGGAAGACTAGGGTTTCAAATGTCAGACAAAGTATCATTGCTTTTGCATATTGAGTGCTTATTTTGATTTTGGGTTTTGTTAGAGTTCACCAAAACAAAAAAAAAAAGACAATGTACCATTATTTTTTTAAAGTCTGGAAACAATGGAAATAATTTTAAAGGCTAAAAATCAAATGAGATAAAAAAAAATGACAACAAAACATTCTGATGGAAGGAGCAGAAAAATAGGATTTCTTTCTTTACATTAAATGTTTTACATCAAGCATCTACAAACAGAAATCAATATTTCAAAACAAAAACATTCTTTCCACTCACATTTGATTCATAGCCAAAAATTTCACAAAATAATTTTTATTGATTTCTTTGTATGGTTACTTTATTGTTGGAGCTTATTTTCAAGTAAGCACACAAAAGAAGATGAATTAAATTTTAATGGAATCATTGCAACAACAATGCCCTGGTGGAAACTAAAAATTGTGACACCAACATAAAAAAATATATATTGCAAATGTTATTTTCTTAAGTCTGTATCATGAAATTTCTCTGATTTGTCACAATGAATGAGCATTCAGTCATTATCCAAATGTATCACTTCTTTGCCTGATTCCTCAACAATAATTAATCATGTCTAGTTTTCATAAATTCTAGAGACATTTTTATTAAAAATAGCATATATATATATATATATATATATATATATAAATAAATGGAACTTAAAACCCACTCAACAGATACTCTAACTCTTAAAACCATATTGAAAATGTGAACATTTATCACCCACTCAACAGATACTCTAACTCTTAAAACCATATTGAAAATGTGAACATTTATCTAAACAACAGATGATTGGATATCAGATAAAGATTTTTTGAGAAATTTTAAAAAAATTTTAATTGGTCATAAGTCAATAGTTGTTTTTTTTTATAAACTGCCCTAACATTAATTAATTAATGCTTAATTAATTACTCAGTTGTTTTTATGAAAGCCCATTAAAAAAAAAAATGGATCCAAGTAAATAAAAGATAGAATGATTTCTAAGTCAGGATTGAAAACTTTATTTAAGTTGAAAGAATTACAAGATTACCAATGATTGAACATTGTTGGTTGATAATTATTCAGGTTTTCATTATTAATAGGAAGGTGAAAAAGAGACAAATAGCATTTTAAATATCAATTATTAGAAAAAGAAAGCAAAGATGTTTTTTCTAAGCAGGTACTGCTTTTTTGCTAATAAAAATATTTCTATGTGCAATGAATTATGATGACAATATTTAAATTTTGCCAAAATTCAGTCAATTTTCCAGTAAATCATAAATGTTGCATTTGACACAAATAACCCTGAATGTCCATTCAAAGCAAACATATTTTCCCCTCTTAAGAAACCATTTTGTGAAGAGAAAATAGATTAGAAAGAAAAACTATATAGAAATTGAAAAGATAAATTTGAAAGATAGGGTGAAACAAAGTGGGGTGAAAGGAAGTAGAGTGACAGATATCAGTAATCAAATGAGAGCAGAAATAAGAGTAAGTGGGGAAATAAAACAGTTATAGTTTATCCTAAGATCTCT